GATCGTCTCGTTTGCGTAAAGAAACTAGTGATACGAGCGTATCGACTGCACTGAAAGTTGAATTACTTATGTAAAATTGGTGTTGCGATTCCGAAATTCCTTGGTCTTCGTTCTCCGTGTTCCAGCGTTTTGTGTCGTCAGAAAGCAGCAGTGGGGCTGTATATATGCATGAATCACGAAATAGAACCAGGAAGGAAGATTATATCATTTCACCTAGACGCAGGCAACGCGTGCAAGGTATGTTAAAAGCCGATCCTAACGCCAATCTGGTCTAACAATCTTAGTACTACGGCGCGTCCGAGGTTAAGAATAAAGTACAGAGTTCTATGATGCAGGTCTCATGTTTGTTAAAAACCCTAATTTTGTGAAAATTGCAAAAGTTCAATATTTTTTAGGAGTCTTCCTACAAGTAAAATATTAAAGATGGATATTTTTTCGTTAATGGAATCTCTTCCTTAAAGATAGATTTTAAAATAAGGTCCTGGACAATTCTTGGAAATTTTAGTACTTTTCGCGTAATTTTGCGTGAAAGTACGGGCGAGTAAGTACGTACTGTTTTAGCACCACCTTTGAAAAGTTTCGTGAGAAGTGAAAATTAATAGTAACTGCATTTTTTTGCGGGTTGTGGGGGAATTGGAATTAGGGAAATCCCCTCCTCCCTCGTGGATCCGCACCTGATATATGCGAAGGGGTGTTAGAATGAACGCTTCGTGCCTAGGACTATGAGATAGAGGAATACACAGGTTTTATAGTCCTTTATTATCTTTTTTTGAAATTTATTTTCTTCTCTGCCTGATAATATCGCTTTTTAGGGAACAGCGTATATATAATTAATTTATTTGACTATCTTCAGACAAATACGGATCTCATGCTCACATAAGCATCCGCGGCTCGAATCTATAAATTCTTGGCTTCCGGTAGACGCCGCGTCGTTGGCTGAGAGGCCGACGTTTCGCCTGACATGTCGCAGGCTTCCTGTCCTGAGGGTAGTCACTGCCCCGAGGAAGCCTGCAACATGTCAGGCGAAACGTCGGCCTCTCAGCCAACGACGCGGCGTCTCCCGGAAGCCAAGAATTTATAAATACGGATCTCAGAGAGATCCAGAATAGTAGTGTTGGATACGGTCGCGATCTTGCGACATGCAGCGGCACGACCGAGAGAGACGCTAAATACAGTGACATAATGCTACCGTAAAGGAGATTCTTGAGGGGCAAAGTTACAAAAACCGCACCGATTAAATAAATAATTTCATTATAATCTAGTCTGTCTAAAAAACAAAGTGGTCTATAATAATGATTCTGAATTTTTCAAATTTAAAAGACTCAATTTTCAATAGAATTGAAGAAGTTACTAGGGAGTTCATGCACGCCATAGCGCCCAAAACCCATAGCGGCAGCACTATTGATCTTCTGCGCGTGCGCAGATGTACTAAAGTGGTGCGAAACTTAAACTGCTAATGCACAGTAGATCGATAATGCTTCACATTCGAGGTGGCACAAACTTCCTACTAAACCAATTTTGAACCATCGATTTTTTGTCGATGTAGAATTAAAGTCGATATTTTGTTATCGATGATGCGTCAATCTACCTACAGAGCGCGCTGAAAATTAAGTGTTGCCAACGACCTTATTCAAATAAGAATGAAATATTGTGTCCCACGGTTGGTAATAACGCACATCAGGTATGGCGGGTATGGCATGGAAAAGCCTGATTCTCCAAGCATAATGCTCTTATAAACTCCGAATAAAACTTTCTGGGAAAGACAGGCGCTGGGAAGCTAAGAAAACACCGCCAGAAATCCTTAGTTATATTGTGTGGTGTAAAGAAATTTGAATCGTTTTGCCCTTCCGATGGAAAAGAAATATGTGATCCAAAAAATTAGAAAGTTGTGAAAAATCTGCATTTATAGATTATGGACTGCGAGATATCGTTCTAATAACATTAAGATATTTAGCAGTGATGGATAACATTGGACTTCTGAGTGAATGTGTCATAAAAGTAGAGGAGGTAAATTGATTTTTTTATTTACATCTGATTTTCCAATTCTTATTAATTGTAAGCTATCAAAAAACAGTAAATACAACTACATTCCTGTATGATTAAAGACAAAGCTACATCACTCATTTTCTCTGTTGGAATGTCACTTTATTTTAGAAAGTTGTCTTTCATTAGTATTTGAAGTGTTTATATCAGTGGGTTATTTTGAAATGAGAATTCAGTGGATTTTTAAATGTGGATATGCTTCAGCATGAAAATTTTGAAAACATAAAACCACAGATTTTCATTCATATTGTTTCAGATCAAAGTGGAAACTGATGGAGATACTGAGGAGATACTTCCAAATTACACAGTAAGTTATTTTTTTGAACTTTTATAAAATATTTGCATGTAATAAACCGATTTATAAATTGTTTTCCGATTAAGCCGAGGGTGAGTTGACATTTGATCAGCTAGGTTGCGGTTACACAATTGAGAGTTTCAATATCAAAAGTAAAGTCATAAAGAATCTCCTGATTGGATAGCTGCATCCCAGCTGATCACTGTCACTGTCTTACACTGATTTTACAAGAGTAAATATAGAAGAGACGTCAGTAACATTGAATTGTCTTGAAATATTGATTATGTGACTTATCAGTTATTTGTAATGTTATTAAAGGAAAAAGGAAATAATTTTGATGATACAATTTCATAAAGAAAATGTACAAATGGTAATAATTCATATTGATGAATGGTTAATCATATTGATAAAATTTATTAACACATATATTTTTTGAAGATTTAAGAATGAAAAATATTAAATAAAATCCATTTCATAATAATTTAATTTTATTGTTTTGGGTAAGTCAATTGTAGGAACTTTGCCAGAGGTTTTCTGTACTTTTGTGGTTATATTTCAAGAAATAATTTAAATTCATGTGTTCAGGACATTATTAAAAATGATAAAGGAAGTTTCTTTAAATAATTAGCTCATGAAGATTAGGAGAAATGAAGATGATAATTTCAATTTTCATAGTGTTTGGGGATAGCATTTTAAAGTTGGACTGATATTTGTTAAGGGAAAAACTAATGCCAAATGGTTATTAATGGGTGATTAGAAATTTCTGGAAATCACATGACATAATAGTGACTATTCAAGCTTTTCATTCTTTAAATACAATTCCATCCTTTGTACCCTTAGCTTTATCACTAACTGATATGCTATTCTTTCTCAATATTTTTCTTGAAAACTAATTTTGCATTAAATTGTATTGATGTTTGACTTTTTTTTTTAAATGTCTGAATTTGTAGTTACTCTTGTGAAGGAATTGTTGAGTTAAATATCATTCTCCACTCCACATTGGCTTTGTAATTCCATTTGTTGGCAGTCCACTTTGTACCATGATTCGTACTATGATTTTTCTTCACTTCATCATGTTTCTACAAGTAACTCTTCATGCAATCTGTTCTCAACACGAATAGATCTGTTTTGTCATGAAATGACATCTATATTTCATTATCATTTATATTATGGTCTAGTGAAAATGATTTCCTATTAAACACTGAGAAATTTAATATATATTGTCTTGTACAGATTTTCTAAATCTATTCATGATCACATTTGTAGTATTGGTGCTATATTACTTGAAATCATGACTAAAATAAGAAATCTTGGAGTAATCTTTGGTTCTAAAATGTCATTTCTAGGTCATATTGATTATGTTACAAATAAAGCAAAATAACTCTTGGGTTTTGTTAGAAGAACTGGTAGTTCATATAAATCTATAAATACTGTGAGAACCCTTTACATAATGATGGTTAAATTAGTGTTGTTGAATACTTCTGTGGGTGGTTGCCTTTCATTCAAATATTGATTCTCATTTAAAAAATTGAAGCTGTGCAATGTAGAATTTTTAGAATCACAGCAACATGCCTTGCACGCTAAGATCCCTTATACACCATAATTATAATTAAATGTCAACTGCATTAAAATTACCCTTGCTTTTGTGTGCAAGAGATCTATCGGTTGCAAACTGTATTTACAAATTCTTGATTAAATAACTCTTGTTTCTTGAACAATTGAATTTGAAAGTTCATGTAAATTCTATTAGAAAAACTTATAGTCTTGTAACAAAAACATAGGTTTCTTCAAATAGTGCCAATAATCCATTAACCAGACTTAGCTCAACTTTATATAGATGTTCCCTTGATGTACTGTGATTTGTTATCTTCAAGTTTTGTAATCCAGGCTAAAGACTTTCTTTTGTTCTTTGGTTAGATGTTCTTTATGCTACTCTTAACAACGAAGAATTCATCATTGTGTATATGGGCTTGTAAGGTTGCTTATTAGATAAATAATGAAAAAAATAAAAGAATTTTTTTAACAAAGAAAGTGATTTACTGTATTTGTTGAGACATGCTATGATATGCTTATTGTGATTTTATGTTTAATTTTATTGCGAGATATAACTGAACATAATTTATGTCACTTCATGGCCTATTTAAATAAATAAATATTTTGTGAGGCTGTATCATTTTAGAATCAGATTCATAGCCTTTTTTCTTTAAGTTTGCAAATTTTTTAAAACCATTTTTGCATAATAATGATAATAATAATAATAATAAATAATAATAATAATAATAAAAAGTCCCTATCCATTGAAGAAACTATTGCCAATGTAGCACAAATGATTATTTATAATTATTGTGTTGTATATTAATACTTGTGTTATTCTGTCTGAAAATTTGCTGATCGTTTTCAGGATCGAGGGAGATGGAATCTAGTGGCTTGGATCATCAGACCGAAAACTAGTGAAAAATAAATGCAGAGGAGGTAATGTGTTTATATTCTGATTCATCCTTTTTTTTGTGTTTTCTTCTTCCCTCACACCAGCTGAGTTAGTTGAGTCAGCATTATTTTTATTGTCTCTGCACCGCCTTTCTGACTGGAGGCCCGTGGGGTCGAGTCCTGAATGACTGTGGATTTTTGATTGGTAGCCTGGATGTTCAGTAAAACTCTCACAAGTCCAAATTTTTGAGATATGCCAAATAAAATTCAGGATGGAAATAATATGGAAGAAATGTATAAATAAATAAAATGCTTATTTATACTGCTATAAAGAAAGAGTTTATAATGACTGAAGATCTGAACTACTAATTATAGAAATGCAGGTTGTCAAATGAAACGTTTTACTTTCTTTTAGGTAACTATGCGTACAACCGGCATTGTATCTGTACAGATTGTGTCATCTAATTTGTATTAACTTAATTTATGAAGAAAAAGCTGAACACGTGTTAAGTTTCACTCATTTATTACTGAATATTGTTTGTAGAATACCCAGTTAATGAATGCGGACACAAACTGTTGCTATCAATCTGTCCATAAGAACAACATTAGCAACCAGTACTGCATGCATTTCGGTTTATGACGAACTGACTCCGGTGTTTGCCAACATTGCCACTTCATGGTTGCATATGCTTCATTGCCATTTTCTCACATTCACATGCTATGATGCATTGTTGTGTAGTTAACCATAGAGGTATTAAAAGTACAGTACATTTTTTTGGATAATTCAAACATTTCCAAATGTGAACAGACCACACCCCCAATATAAGTTCAGAAATACCGAGGTTTTACTGTAGCTGGGTCAGACTCAGCCATAGTCTGGTCGTAGTAACTGGTCTGAAATATAATTCTGTTGTCCAGGAGCATGGAAGTCGTCCTGCCGCTGTCTTTCTTCACGGTGAAGGAGGAGCCAGAAGACTGGTTTAGTGAGGAAGAAAGGTTGCAGGTCGGGTGGCAATGATTAAATTTATTGTATTTACCCCACTAACGCACAAAATGGATCCCACGATGGAGCCACGTGGAACGATTAGTCTTTTCTCACGCATTTCCTTTTAGCAATGTTGCCCCTGAAGGAGAAAGACTGAAAGTACTTAGAAGTACCCTACAACCAATAGCGATATTTTTTCTTTTCACCCTTTCTACTGCAACAAACCGAAGGTGCTGTTCTGGCTTTCTTAATGTTCTTCAGAATGTTTGAATTTCCAGATCGCACGATTTTTAGTTTCTTTTTTGTCGGTTCCCTAAAGTAATATTTCTTTATTTGGTACGTAATTGCCTGAATATATGAAAAGATTCACATTTCATGGATTGTCAATGACTAATCTGAGAAGCAAATCTGCCCACAGTAGATTTTAGAAGTTTTGCCCTTAGTTAGCTGTTTTAATTTTTTTAAACACATTAAAAACCCTGTTCCAAATCTTCTTTGCGTTCCAGTCCATTACTTTTTTAGCAAATTAACCTCTTTTCATCATTGCGGGTGTGAGTTTGGTCTTTTCGCAGGTCATAGACACTGAGATCCATTTCTACAAATCTTCTGGGATCCAACTGGAATATCCATTCTTGAATCTTGAGAATCATGTTGTCACATTTTTTTGTTTTTTTCAATGGTTTTCTAATGGCCATGTGACATATTTTTCTGTTCAAAACTGTGGTGAAGTGTATTTTCTGCCACAGTTGTTTTGCGTTCCTAAATGGCATCCACCTGAAGCTTTCTTTTGATATTTCAAACTGGTTGACTGTTGAACTCCGGCAATGGGCTTGTAACGGTTAGGCGTACTGGACTGTGGTACCCAATTGGCGGAGTTCAAACCATCGAGCCGTGGATTTTATAGGCGCGGAAAAAATCCTCGTACGGCCTTCCTTCGAGGAAGTAAGCGGCTGTCCCATGTCGTAGATTTACTTGCATGTAAAAGATCCTCAAAGGCCTAAATGACGCCTCTGAGCTAAAAATTCAAATCGCCTGTTCTCGCCCAGAAATACCTCCTTTCTCTCCTAGTTGTGAAAGGAGCGTTAGCGAAATTTTTGCGAGTGGTCAGACGAAAGAGCGGGCCTGATGGCCCGAGTCTCGTCCGTAAAATAAGGCAAATTCAATTCAATCAAAACTCCTGACCTAATTTAGAAAAAACAATCTCTCTTTGCATGTTACCTACAATGACAAATTAAATATTGCTATTCGTATTTTTTTCTTTGTGTGAGATCAGAACAACCCCATCTGAAGCAGTTTGCTTGGAATCATTCATTTAGGTCATGTTCTTGACATTAAAATATCAAATAATACATTAAATCATCCAGTAAATGTTGAAATTACATTCTCTGTGGTATGATTGCTTGAAATACACTGAATAACAATACCATAAAGAACAAAAGTTTCAAAATAACTTCAATCAGCAATCATGCTCCTCATGAACTCACTGAGTAAAAATTGTCTCGGAAGAGTTATAAGACATGTTGACCAATGTTACAATATTATTAGATATAAAATTAAAAACTAATAATAAATGCATATATTTACAAAATAACATTAAATAGTTAAAATATTAATTCCTGATAATTTTGATCCTGAGTATAATAACTATAATCTCGAGTTCTTCAAAGGTATTATCTTGGCCCATTGTTATATCTAATATTCATAAATGACTTGAATCTGTGTCTTCCATGAATTTTATTTCTGATGACCTAAAGATTTATTGTGAAAGTGAATCCATTAATGAAGGTTATTTTTCTTAAAATTAATTTTATAATCTAGCATTGTGGTGGGAACAAAATTGTTTATATCTAAACATGAAGTGTAATATTATGACTTGATGCAGATTAAGATACCAATACTTTTTAATTCCATTATAAATAATGAAATATCAGAAAGAATGTTAAAAATTAAGGATGTTGAAATAATCTTCTAGGAAAAATTAAAATGGGATTATCATGTAAACAAGTGTGACCTTTGACTTTAAAATTAAAAAGAAAAAAATATTGAAAATATTTTATAATGGTTTATTTAGACAGATTCTCCTATAACTATCAACTGTTTGGTCACCCTTTTATTCAATATATAAATCACAGATCGAAAAATTCAACATAAAATTTATTTTTTACTTGTTAGAATCTCAGAATAACTCACCTGGATTAACACAATTTTTCAGAATGCAAATCGGTTGAGTATGTGCTCATTAAATTCTGTAGAAACGGTGTTTAGATAGAAACAATGGTCCAAACAATTCTTGAATGCAAGGTCAGGTGCGAAGAGAGCTTTCAACCCATTTATGGCTCAATTTACAACCAAATATTATTGGTGACTCTCACCACTTTTGCAGCTTCGTGTTATGTCCTCTTAGTCTCTGATCTGGAGCTCTAGTAAATAGCCTCAAATTGAGGTACATTGTAGAGTCCATGCAGAATCTTGTAGGTCTCTATTGTGTCTTCTCTTTTCAACCTCTGCTTAGAGAGCTGGTCCGAATTCATTTTCTGTCAGGAGGAGAATTCTAGCGGCCAGCCGCTCTGATTGGTAGCGTTCTGTGATTTCTCTGATCGACAACAGGCAAATGCCAGAGGCGTACCCTAACAAATGGACCGTGGATTGTGTGAAGTCTTTTCATCCTATTTCTTGTCCTGCCCTCACCCTTACTTATACACACACTTTCACTTAAATGCACTTCACTACCACATGTGCTAGGAGATGAGTCAGGAACTTTGAGCTAGTCTCGACTGGAGCTGGGCTCTGCTGGTGGGTGATACCTGGTTGGGGAAAACTGATGTGCTAGCTGATGTGTAGGTTGGAGCGAGAACTCACCATCCACTGGGGGGAAGATCACCCCCGCCTTTGAGGAAAAGCATGAAGTACGCTTACGGGGCTAAATTGCCTTGGCAGTTGAAATGCTCAGAAACTCAAAATAATCTATCAATCCTCCTCTGCTTTAGCTTCAGAAAGAGATATCTTGTGACTTTCAGAAATCCTGTGATCTTGAGAAAGAGACGTCGATTGATAGTACTCTTTCTAGATTTTTGTGAGATACTTCTGCTCTTTCTGTAAATGGAGAGTGACTTTTTGAATGTGTGAGGATCATATCACATTTCTATGTTCCAGTACAGACCTGAAATGTGTAGTGTGGATTTCTTTTATTGCACCTGGTCACAAAGTGGAAAAGGTTTTTCTAATTATGTCACTTTAGTGACTGGCTTTAGCATCTTGAGACTGCCATCTCAAATCATGGCGTAAACAAATTTTAGATTATTCTATTGAAATGCGTGTCAAGTGAATAATTTTCAATGGCATATCTGTACTGTGGATTATTTCTTGGAAGATGTAGAATTTTGTACTTGCTGGTGTTGGCAAGAAGTAGCCACATTTCCGACCTCTTATTTACAAGTTTAAACTCAAATTGTAGTGCATTGTAGTATTTTAGTGAGTTCGCAAATAATATGGTGTCATCGGCATAACTGTTCCAGATAGAAGATAGTCCATCTCCAATATTGCTTGTTTATAGAACTAATAGTAATGGTTGTGTAAGACCAATCCTTGAGGAGCTCTACTAGTGAACTGCCTTGGTGTTGAGAGTTTACTGCCAATACTCACCTGGAATGTTGTGCGAGTTCTCGGATCCATTCAAGCAGTTTTTCTTGTAATCCTACAGATTTGAGCTTATGAACTCTGACAAATGGTTTTATGTAATTTAGGTAAGAGGATCATGAGTTGACCTTCATCCAAGGCTTTAGTCCAAGCTTCAAATGAGTTAATCAGATTTGTTGTTGTTGTTGTTGATCTTTCATGTACAAACCAAGCTGTTATTCTCTGAGCTAGAGAGACTTTTAGGTCTGTAATTTGTGGCTTTCTGTTTGTCACCTTCCTTGAAAATCAGTGTTACAGTTGCTTTTTTCCATATAGATGGTAATTTTACCATGGCAAGGATTTCCTGCAAATTCCATTCAACAGTGGTGTCAATTGTATTGCAGAAGAGTTGGCACCCAATTCACACATGACTTTTACATCATCTAGAAAATCTATATACTACATAGTTATTCCATCAAATCTAAATTCAAAATTATGGTAATAATAAGAAAAATAAAATGTATTTTTGCGCAGAGAGACTTGGACCATAAAGCCTATTCTTCTGCCTGTCCACACGAATCAAAGTGCATTACAAAGTTGAACAATTAACTCTTTTCTGTTCACGGAATGGGAGTTATGGGTACGGACTTTTGGTGCAGAATGTGTTATGATATTTAGAATGTAAAAAATACGTTTTTACAGGATTTTCTAATTCTACCATACGTCTTACAATATTCTGGTTTATGAATTTATAATAAATGTCAGTTACTAGAAAGCAGTTCATTCTTTGAAAGATAGTTCTTTTCCTCAAAATTCATCCAAAATTTTTGCAAGTTCCTTGTTGCATATGCTACTCATTTTTGAACTATGAACTTGCTTGTTGATCTCTTATGATAAAACACTTTAGTGAAAACAGTGTCATCAGTATCATTTGAGGTCCAACGCAGGTCAATAATAAGTCATAAAATACCAATTTCCTCTTACCAAAAGGAGGTTAATATTATATTAGAGGAAATCTAATAATATTAATTTTTGAAAATTAAAAATTTGATCTTTTTTATTTTTAATTTTATTGATTTAATGTGCCAATACAGATCATTAGGTCAGAGGAAATCACCAGATCAGAGGAAAAATTATTCTGATTAAAAAAACAGTTTATCAATTTTTAAGTAATTAATATTTCATCGACAGCTTCTAAACATCAGAATTATGAGTGGATATTCATTATCATCGATATTGTAGAAAGTTATCATGGTATCTTAGATGTGTTAATCCTACAACCTACCTTTTACCACAATCACTAACAAATTTATGGTTTCACACTCCTATGTGCATTTGTGGATAATGTAATAATTACAATAACTGTACTGTGACTTATGCACTCTATCTCTAAGGCACTATGAATTTTATTTTGTAAGACTGGATAACTTCTTGGAATCTGACAATTTTCTAAACTTGCATATTTTCTGTTTGAAGAATGTTTTTTCATTATAAAACTTGTAGTTGGGTGTTAGCCAGGTCATGTTTAGATAGATAAATTAATGGATAATGTTACATTATTAGATAAATAAATAAATTTAAAAATAGAAGTTAACAATGTTGCTCCCTTGTGCAGGAGCAGCTGCAGTCCCCAGTGTCTGTGTATCTTGCTCCTCATGAGGAAACTGAAATTGAAGTGAAGAATGAAGAGGTAAGAGTAACAGTGTTCGTGTTTTCATTATTGGATTGGTAATAATCTTTGCAATTATAGTTTTATTCTTTTTGTTTTTTTAATTCCTATTTTTAAAATGAAAAATTTGATGTCACCTGAAGCAACAAATTATTAGTGATAGCTAGCTTTTGTTAGGGGAAAAAAAAAGAAAAAGAAAAAAGAAAAAAAAAAAGGTTGAGCGTGGAAGGCAGTGCCTACTGTGATGAATATGCACTAATTTAATACAATTCACACACAATTCTAATGACTTGGTTTGTGTAAGTATTTTTCAACTGTGAAATAATCTGCTCTACGTGAAGTCAAGACTATCGTACTAAAGTTTTAAAATATCCTTTATCTATTTATTATGGCTTTTGTTTTTCGATATCTTCCTTGACCTTCTTGTGTTTTTACTCCTATCCTTTCTTCTCTTCTCTTCCATTTTTTACTTTGCTTTTCTTCCTCTCCTCCATCTTTTCTTCTTTTTGTGTTTTATTGTACCACCCACTTATGTTCTTTCCCTTTTACTATTTCCTGTAGTACTGGCATAGATGGAAAAATATATCCTCTAGGCTACTAGTTGTCCAGAAGAAATTATGTTACGTTGCAATAAAATTGCCCGAATTCTAGCAAGTTTTGAGGTTCCCTGAAAGTGAAAAAGTATTTTGTTTTCTTGAAATATGTAGTAAAAAAATTACTTAGATTAGTAGCATAGTTTAAAAAAGCATATTCTGTGAGACCTTGAAGTTGAAATTTTTTTCTCAAAACGTGTCTCTCCATCAGCAGCAGCTCTGTGGGGTAGGCAAGTAACCAGTGCCTACTCTGATAAATATGCACTAATATAATACAATTCACAGACTATCCATTTTAATGACAGTGTTTGTGTAAGTATTTTTCAACTGCGAATATAAAATTAACATTTCATTCATTATCATGGTATGTGCAAATTCTCAATTTAAGTGTTTGGTGATGAAAGTCTACATAACGAGTCTCATTTCCTCTCTTCCACCATTGTCTCCTGCTCTTTTTCACCAGGCACATAATTGATTTTGAATTGGTTGTACTCATTCCATATTGAAGCCAGAGATTTATTTCTTTAGTAATCTATTTTTCAATTAGACCTTTAAATCATTTTGTGTATACTTTATTGAAAATATTAGTAGTTTTTGTGTAATTTTGAGCTATACGAACACAGTTTGTTTTTCAAACCTATTCTACTTCTTCAATATTGAAGCTAGAGATATCTTTCATAATCCAATGTCTTTCTTATGATAGGTGTTTGAATCATTTCAAGTACATTTCAAAACAATTCTAGTAGTTGTAGCTTAATTTTGATGAATTTTGTTGTTTGCATATTTTGAGAGATGAATGAGGTGTAGAATAATAATTAGGGAATAAAAATTATTGTAATGAAAAATGCAAAATTTGCATTGTTTTTGCACGTTTTTTGCTACACGATCTCTCTAGTTATTGCCCAATTATGACATACCTCTTGTTGAACTTGATTTTCGTTTAGAAGAATACTAATTTATAATATAATATTTGGAAAATATTTGGCAGACAAACAAGGAAACTGAAATAATATACTGAAATATTGCTATAAGTCACTCAAACATAAGAGTATAGTAGCTAGTATGGAGGTGGCCAAATTTTTAGACTAAATATTTTTTCTCTCATTTAACGGATTATAATGAGTTCTGAGAAGCTCCTGACAAAAGTAACTGTTTGAAGTGTAATGTTTGTGAATGTTATCGTAAATGTATACACAGTTAATGGTTCAATGATGTACAACAAGCCCTAAAGAACCAATGATTCCCTCGTATAAATAAGTTGTTTGGAAAAAAACTAGTGATTATGCTTCATATCACAACAGGAAAGAAAGTTGGAAAACATCTTCAAGATATTGATCAGTCTGGGTTCCAATGGGCTGCAAAAAGTCCTGACAAGAATACCATTGAAAATTTTCGTTTGACAGTTAAAAGTAACTTAAGAAAAGAAGGCCATAAAAACCAGCTCATAAAACTTATTTGCATCTCACAAAGTGACACTCAAATTGAAAGAATGGTTTAAAAATTAATTTCAATTTTCAACATACCTCAGAACAAGTAAGTTAATTATGAAATGCTTATAAAACATTAGAACTTTGTACACAGAGTGTGTCAATATCTACAGTGGCAAATACATTTTGTCTTGTTCAATAACTCTAGTCTAATAATTTGGCCACCTCTGTAAACAAAATAAATTTAAATTAACTTGTAGTTGAATGCATGTAAAATTTGATGAACATATAACAAATAAGTCACTCATAATTTATGTCTAAATATCATAATTTTAATCATGTAAAAATTGCTGTTGTAAACGTGGCTGTGGCCTGTAATGAACTGAAAGATTCGCGAGATTGTTGATACTTATAATGGCATGCAACCACACACAAGAAATCAATATCGGTGAGTACAGTTTACAAGAAAACTAAAGCATCCCTTATCTATTTGAATGTGTTCAAAAAACAAGCAATGATTTCAAATTTCATAGGCAAGCAAATTTCAAGATTTAATTTCCAAAGTCTTTTATGTTCTAATAAATTTCAGAAACAAACCATAAAGATGCGAAGATAATTTTTAAATTTACATATTTCAAACACTCATTATAAATTATATGATCAGGAAAAGAACTTTGTGCAACAAAAATGAAAATTTGGATTCCTCTGCACTCATTGCATACATGTTTTACTTCTTAAATTCCCAGAATCCAAAAAGTATTTCAATCAGTTGAAACAGCAAACATTTCATAAACTAATTAAAAATATACCACTACCAAAAACAAACTTCTTTTTAAATTATGATAATGAATTTGCTGAAAACTTCATAAACCTAACTTAATGTCAGATTCCTTCCAAAGTTATCCTTGGGGTCCTAATTTCTCATTCCCTAACACAGAACAAGATAAACAAATTACAATGGAGACAATATCTAATTTTCAAGTAACAGTATATAGAATTCCTCAATTACGGGAGGCAGTTCGAGGCATCATTATAAATGAACTTTCTGAATTTATTTTAACACCAACCAACTTTCCAAGAACCATGGAAATCTCACTCAGAAAAGAAAACAATCCACCAAATTTCTAAAAGATAATCAAGAGAACAGATAATTTGTTCTCGCTGGTGAAGGGGAGAGCTTAGTACCAATAGATGCTGCGTATTACAATCTAAAGGTTGAACAAACTTTTTTAAATAGATAGCTATAATTTTCTGCAGAAATATCCGTTATGGATTTTTTAAACAAAATTCAACAAATGAAAACTTGAAAAAGAAAGTTTATAGATTCGAAAACTTTCAACTTTATATATGCGACTAAGCCTAACATCCTTGTGCTTATGGCTTGGTTAAGACACACAAACAATGTTACCCTGTCCACCCTGTCGTCTCTAGTATTTATTTGTGCCAGAGTATTTATTTTTCAAGTTTCTTAGCCAAGTCATCGAGAATCTTATGCAAAAAAATCCTTTCTCAGCTAAAAACTCAGTTCAAGTTATCAAAGAATTGAAACAGAAAGAAATAACGGCAGATTACAGATTAATATTGCTAGATATATTACAGATGTATCCAAGTGTACCTCGTGAACTTATTTTAGATTCCACAAGAGAACTTTTAAACCAATCACACTTCAAATATGACCTCCCTATGAAGGAAATTTTATTAGCTATTTAATTATTACTTAATATTATTTACCTGAAATTTAATAACAAAATATATGAACAAAATTCCAGCACACCAATGGGAGGAAATCTCAGTGCCCTTGTAACAGAAATCTCAATACGACACTTGGAAATACAGTATTACAAGAATTGCAATATAAAATGTTATACCCAATATGTTGATGATACTCTCATAAGTATACTCAAAGATCATATACAAACTGTTTTAACATCATTCAACAATGTCACTAGAAAATTTTGTTTACAGTGGAACAAGAACATTAAGATAAAATCAACTACCTAGATGTTACTTTGATAAGATCCAGAAGTTCAATTCTCATTAGATGGTACACAAAACTTACGTCAGCAGTAACTATTTTGAATTTTCAATCTTCTCATTCTCCACAAAGTAAACATTCCGTAGTGACTAATTTGGTTGACCATATTACAAGAATTACTTGCCCCTCCTTCTTTTATGATGTAATAGAGTGTGTTTCTTTTACTATTAAAAAATAATAATCATATCAATTATATTACCCGTTTAATTTGTGCAAAATTACATAAAATGGCCCATCCCAAATCTTGCTGTAATATTTCAGTGCAAGAACATTGTCAGTATATCACATTATTATTTATTCCATAAATTAATCATCAACTTGAATTTCTTGAGAATTACAACATCAAAATAAGGAACTCCATTTAAACAATAAATTCATTCATAAAAAAAAACAAGGATCCTGTCTCAAAGTTAGATCAAAAATATGTAATTTCTGCCTTAAAATGCCTTGAGTGTAACTACTGTTACTTTGGTCATACTTCAAGAAAATTAAAAGAATGAGTAAGAACAAACAATATGAAACAAATCTGTGAAAGACAAAACTCTCTAACAAAACATGGGATCAAGCAGAACCATCAGTTTGATTTTCAAAACCTTACCTTACCTGCAAAATTCTTTTACAGAACTGTATAATTCCATCTCTTAAAAACATTAGGGGAGAAGAATGTGGAAGTTTTTTAAGGAAATCCTGGGAAGAATCAAATGTAAAAGATGTTGTGATAGAAGTTTCGGGACTAAGTGGGAATTATCTGCTTTTTTGCATGTAGCATTTGTGCTATTGCAAATGCGCTATATTCATTTTGTGCATATTACCAAAAAAGGGTAAATATGTCGCTGTACTAAAATATAACAATTAGCATCAAAACATGCAAGTATTTGGCGATTATAATTTTAAAATTGCAATAAGACCAGTTCATATCCCATATGGATGTAACATACAAGGCTATTGGATGTTGGGAACTTCTGAACGGGAGTATAACATTATGAACTGCTACGATTCATTGATATGTCCAATGCCAAATACTGAAAGAACATATTTAAACAATGCTGGGCATGAAAGAGATTTTCCACACATGAAACAATTTTTGAAACCGTTTACAGCGTCGGCGACGCCACATTTTGCTACTTAGTAGTATTTTACAAAATAACGGTTTTCTTCCCCTCCGTCTCCCCACTCCCCCGTCTTCTGTATCAACAATCCCGCGAATCTATCAGTTTAATACAGGCCGCTGCCTCGTTTACAACGGCAATTTTTACATGATTAAAATTATGATATTCATATACATAAATTACGAGTGAATTATTTGTTATACATTCTTCGAATTCTACATGCATTCAACTGCAGGTAAATTTAAATTTATGTTATTTAATAGCTGCTATTTTTCCTTGAAGGTCGTACTTGACGAAATTATTTCTTATATTTGAATTCGAATATTGAAATATTTGAATTTATAGCAATATTTCTGTAAATTATTTCAGATTCAGATTTTTTGTCTTCCAAATATTTTATGTGTAAATTGGCATTCATGTAAACAAAAATCTAATTCAAAAAGAGGTGTGTCATAATTGTTTTATGAATATTGTTTTTTTCTATTTAAAATAATCTATAATATAAATGATTTTTATAATTTTGTGGCTTTTTAATTAGATCTTGATAATAAAGGCCAACGACGTTTGAAATGTTGATAGATGCAAAAAGTGATTACAATATTTAATAAAAAATTGTCATTTTGTTTATGTCTGCCTTAATAATCAAAAGACTTGATCTTCCAAAAATTGAAACACAGTAAAACCCCGTTTTTACGTTCCCGCATTTTACGTTTCCCTGCCTTTTACGTATTTTTTCATTGGCTCCGTCGTAATGCCTACATTTACAAAGCATTCTCTTCCTGCAATTTACAACTTGATATGAAGAGTGCTTCCCGTCTTTGACGTATGTAAATAAACAATTATTTATTTATTTTTACTTCTTCGTATACGTATGTATTAAACCTAGTGCAGATATGTAATGCAACGTCAAAAACCGCGATTTTTCGACAGAAAACTCGTACTGTTACAGAAAAGGTGGATAAATCCTGTTCCAATATGTAGTAAATTACTACATAGTATGTGTGTAACGAACTTTCAAAAGCCGCAAGTTCGTTCAGATCGATCTGGGAATATTAATTTTGGAGAAAATCGGCAGGCAGTTAGGCGCTCGCGTTGACTACTGACGGATAGACGTTTTGCCGTCAATCGATGTTGCGGTTTCGAGGACCCATAAAGCAGGGATTCAGGCTACACCGCGTATTAGAGGAAGTAATTTACTACGTATAGGATTATGATTTATCCACTTGTTTATTACCAGGGCCCGTCAATAGATTTTCTGCCGAAATTTGCCGATTCCGGCGCACACTTTTACTTTCTCTTCTTACGAAAGGCGAGAAAGTAAAAACAGCTACCATTGCAGTGAATAATGAAAATAGTCACCTAGCCTATCACCTTTTTTAAATTTCCTGTATTTCACACTTTTTTCATCGGTCCCCTGGAAAGTGTAACAAAGGGGTTGTACTATACTAATTTGCCACAAATGGAACCTTAGTTACAGTTTTTACTCCCCTCCATCCTGTCCCCCTTTCTTTCTTTCTTTCTTTCTTTCTTTCTTTCTCTTCTGTCTGTCTCTTTCTTTGTCTCTCACCCCTCTTTCTAGCACTTGACATGCTCAGAAACATGAATTAATCAAATCCTAATGGGGGCAAACATTTTTTGCATGTTGGGTAAATTGTGATGGGTTCCAATAATAATATTATTATTATTATAATTATCATTAGAATCAATACAAGTAAAGCAAGAAAATACGGTACCACTAGTTTTCAAGTGATCATGAATATTTCAAAATTTAAAGACATGATATTTCTTTAATTTGGTGGAAGGCAAACCCAAGGCTGGCAGCGAATAGAGAAGTCGTGGCCGTGGCTCTACATTGATAATGATACGATTCTTGCTGCATCAACCCACTAGTTGTATTCATATGTTCCACTTGCTATCAAAGTTGATTGATTGTGGTAATGTTTTGTTTTCCTTTTGTCTCAGGATCCTCTTGCCTTTGAAGAGAACACCTGTAATGAGATGGCAGAACAAGGTGATTATGTGGGGTCTCCAGGTGAGTAAAATAAATTATAATTTTTTGTTTTATGTTTTGAACTGATATATTCTACATGCATCTGATACTTAGAGATATTTTGAGAAAAATATCTCTACATTTTTCTCAATTCACTCTTACCTGAGAGTGCAGCTTTGGTTTGGTGAATCTGTTAGCATGTGTGTAACTGATAGTCATGAAGGAAAGGAACAAAATGAAGGATTCAAAAATGTTAAGCACATCGTGAAAACTGAACAGGTGCAAAATATGCAACCTACTTGACATTATCTTGTTTAGTGTAAGATTTAATACATATGAGGAATATTCTGCAATAGAGAGATTACTAGTAAGACTTTGTTTTTGGTGATTTTCATACAAAGCTTTCCTTTTGATAAAAGAGACAAAATTTGTAACAATTCGCAGGAAATATTTTTTCATAGGTCGCATAAAAATAACATAAACATGCACCTACTGAAAATTGCAGCTCTGTATCGGTTTTTGCATTTACCAGTTATACCAAAAACACACTTGCCATATCCAAATGCATATTTTTGGAACAAATAAACCTGAACCATCTTCAAATTGATTTCTGACATTTTTTTGCCCAATTCTGAGTACAGCCAAATATAATTTTAATATTAGATGTTTCAAGCAAAGACATGAAAATTAATATTGATATATTTTTGTTTTAAGAAATAAACATTTCGAATTCGAGTTAACATTATGGTTTTATTGTGCTTTGTAATGTAGGAAAACTTGGCCAATGCAGACAAGTTAATCCAAAATTAAATTTGTAATACATGTAAATTTGGTGATCCAATACAGTGCAATGTGATCAATAATCTCAAAGGTGATTACGTTCTATATCGAGACTGATCAATACTTCATATATTTGTGATATTTTTCATGTAATTGCAATGAAATTTACAGAAGTAGTAGTAGTAATAATAATAATAATAATAATAATAATCATAATAATAACAATAATTATAATAATATAATAATAATAAGATTAATTGATGATGATGAACAACTCCTTTGAAATTTATCAAAATTTGAGATAGAAGAGCTTTTTCCCCCATGTATTAGTATTTACAAGTGTGTTATTTCTTTACCATTTAAAATATTTCTACTATATATTCTATATTTTCTATCAATGTTATAATGATAAGTAATATCTCCTTTGAAATTTACCAAAATTGAAGACGGGGGCTCTTTACTCCCTTATTTTTTACATCTATTTATAAGTATGTTAATTCTTTCTGGTTAAAATATTTCTTTCTGTGATGACATCAGAAGTTGAAGTATAAGGTTGAGTCAACTATGCAGAAAGAGATTCAGCACATTTCTGTTCGTTCATCTTTTTTTTATTTATCTACTCTTGCACTTAAAAAAAATACTTTGATATGCATGTTTCATTGCTTTGTTCTTCACAAACTAAGCAGTAACAGTCCATCAAAAATGATATACTGCAAGTCTATAGTGTAGGGCTAATGAACGAACAGTAAATGGAGGTGATAAAAAATGACTGATACAAAATCAGAAGTTCAAAGAAAATATTGTTTGACCGGAATACTCTTCTGTGAAGCCCAAACAGGAGTGATTAAAGGCTTCTTACTGTTACCTAATTTTGTGAGTACTTTAGCTTCACTTGTGCAATTATTTCTTTGCAACTCATTGTTTAGTGTGTAATCAAACTGATTACACAGCTGATGCGCTCTGAAAACCCCCTTACTCAACCAGTTCCAGCAAATTGCTATATTCTTTTTTGTATTTCTAAAAGTATTTGCACATGGAATTACTACAATATCAAGTAATAACCTTAATAAAATATTTATTTGTCATGATTTATTACAATTTTTTATTCTTCAAATATGCTTCTTCAAAAAATTGAGAAGGAATCCCATCTTTCGGTGGTATAACAGTATTGGGCTGTATGTGTGTTCAAACCCAACTGAAGCTGTGGATGTTGAAGGGAGAAAAACATATTAATACGTCTTCCTTCAGGGGGGAAGTAAAGCCATTGGTCCCATGTAGTAGATTTACTGCCTGTGAAATATCCTCATGCCTAAAAGAAGCCTCTAATCTAAATTCATATCGCCTGTTTCCTCACTCGAGATGTTACCTTCTTTCTCTGCTAAAGGGTAAAAGGAGCTTGGTGAAATTTGTGTGGTCAGATGGAAGAGTGGGTCCGATGACCCGAGTTTCAGCACATAAAATAACCGACCGACCGACCGACGGACCGACTCTCGTGAGGCGATAGGGATCCTCCTTTGGGGACCCCAGTCTCATGCTCCGGCCTATCTAAATCATTTTTATATAATTACGCGTGGCTTCAAGATCAATATTTATGTATCAGGAACACAAAGAAATTCCAAAGATTACCGCCCTGCGTAGTGAGAAAGGATTTAAGTTGGAGGAGACGTGGTAGGAATTAAAGCGTTTAATTTGTTAGTTTCTTTTTCCTTTTGCCTATAGAAGTATCAACTTTCACAGGTTCTATACAGGTTTGATCATTATGTTTATAGGCACAAGCGATTATGATAGCGAATGAACTATATATTAACGTTTTTAATAAATTGTATGTATAATTTATTTGCTAATTTGACTTAAATATAAATATGGTATCTAAAAATGAAATATTTCTGTATATAAAAATAATGACCAAGAAGATCATGTGAAAGTGTAATATGTTATAAAATAGATTCAAAACATCAATTGTAAAAGAGTTTTTGAAAAAAACAGATTATTGAGAATTTTATTTTGTTGGGTTTCTTCCCTCTCTATTTAGGCTCAAAGGCATTGTCTCTTGCAATGTTTTCAGAATGTGTAATAATGAAAATTGTTGTCTTCTACGACCTGAATAAATTGAATTGAATAAATCGTGCTGCTCGTAAGACGCGTCCAGCACTGCTCTTACTTGCTCCTCAGTGCGCAGTCGATGCGCGGTGGAGTACAAATTCTGCTCACCCCTGCACTATAGCTTTGGCATAGTCGCAATGCGTCTGACCCGTTCTGGTGAACGGTTAAGTCCAGACCAATCATTAGATGCTAAAAGGGGCTGTTGTAGAAAAAAAATTGTGGTGTAGTGATGAGTTTCTTCTTTGTTGTTTTTTCTGGGTTGATTACAAATTTGCATTTTGCTCCCCAAAATATTTTCATTTGGTTGAAAGTTTTAATAAATAAAATCTGGAGAAATTAACATATTTTACATTTTTTCATATAAAAACTAATTTTGGGTAAACTGTTCCTCTCGTAAATGATTTACATACTTTCTTATAATTTAGCTACCTTTTTTCACTACATATCCCTCTTAGGAATTACTAGTAAGTGCTATGGTGCTGATATCTGGAAAACATAGGGAAATTTAAATACAGAAGTTATACAGGGGAAAATGCTAGGAAATGGCGTCGTGTAAAAATGTGCATTCGACCCAAACCATCTCTGATTTATGTGGTTTGAATTCTTGCTTATTATTGACTGAAATTTCATTTATTGATATAGTCCTTGTAACGAGTGGTAATAAAAAATGTTTCCAAATAAGCATTATATGCTCTTTAAACATATTTTCTCCATGATAATATCAATTTTTGAAGAACATTGATT